ACTTTGGTCACAAGGGAAGCCTCGAGAAGTGGTAGTCGCAGGCAAACAGCCCATCATGCCAGCAAATGGGTGAAGTCTGCTTCAGCATTGCAAAGCTGCTCGAACAGGGAGCAACACCAAGTCTAAAGCCAATCCCATGCATAAGGTCTCGGCGCATCGCTTGAGGTCCTGCCGACAGGGCACGGATTGAAGTTCACCTGACATCTCAAGTCCTGCCTGCGGATTGTCGCACGCTATGCCCCTCGACCGGTCATAACAAAGGACAACAAGAATTTCAGCACTGGCCAAAAACGTTCAAAGTTCTAATTGAAGCCTGCGACTCTTACATGTGCTGCTTTGCAATTGCAAGAACCACTGAGACTTCAGCCTACGCTTCCCCCTCGCTCCTCCCAGAAGCGGAACGCCGTGGAAAGGTCCTGCCGAAGATGAGTGCTCCGAACGCGCTTTGCTTGGAATCCCATGACCGACAAGCTTGCGCCCAAGCCAAAGAAAGTCGCAATGGAGAGAAGATTGAAGCCATGCGCACAGGTCATCCAAACTTTCAACCCAAGCGGGATCTTGCCAAGAAGTTCGGCTTACGTGGGCCAGAGATCTTGATTCTATCGATGCCTGGTTGGACGTGCATACTTCCGGATCTACTGAACTCTCGAAAACACCCAAAACACGAGGCCCGGCCCAAAAAGCTTGCTGTGTTGGGGATATCACCCCCAAATCGTCGCGAAACAAATCTACCGCAGAGTCCAGGAGCACACTGCGGGGCCTCAAGAGGTTGGATGCAGCAAGGGAACTTGGCGTAGAGCTCCCGGGTGAAGCTCTTGAAGCTCCCCTGGAACTTCAAAAAGAAGAGACACCTGGGCGCATTTGGGCTTCGATTCCAAGCTCGCCGGGAACACAAAGCCGAGTCAACCGTATGGATCCAACTCCGTGGGACAAAGGAATCGTTGCAGGCAAGGAGCACTATGCCCATGCACGCACGCGGTAGCATAAAGGTCCTGGTCGAGCATGCAAGCTGGGTCAGGCTTCGCTCAAAAATCAGAAGTGAATACCCACACATGCCCACTTGAGGATGGTTGCAAGCCCCTGTGCTTGCAAGGGGCGGCATGATGCCATGGCCCTCCCCGTCGTCATCCGGAGCCGCTGCACACAGCAAACCTGCTCAAGACCCTCTGAATCTGCAGGCCAGGAGGACTCAGAGCCATAAGAGGGCTTAAGGCCTCCTGTACAGAAGCAGCCCAGAGACTCGGCCTATTAGGGATCCTACTATCATTTAAGGTATATTCCCTAATTAAGGGATATTGGAGTCTCTGGGAACCAAGAAGTCCACCTCCCGCCTTGGGGGAGCAGATTGACGCGTTGCAGATTCTTCAGGAGCACCGAGACGAGGGAAGCTTCGGCCAAGTGCCGCAAAGCTCTCTTAACCTTGCGTTTAGGGTTTAGGGGTTTAGCGGTTTAGGGGTTTAGCAGTTTAGGGTTTAGAGAAGGCCATGAGACTGAGAAGAACGATCGATCGTAACAATCCTTGCCGTCTTCATCGTGGTGTCACCGAATCGTCACTACGCATGGCAAGTGCTGCTCTGCGCTCACCGTATCTAGAAACATCACATTCCATGGCTGTGTTGATTCATGGGGGCTGCTTGTTTGGAGGTCCGTACAATTCCGTACAATCTGGAGCCTCGAGTTGAGTTCCGCAGTAGAAAAGCTTCATTTCTGAAACCCACACGTCAAAGCTGTTTGGCCGATGTGCTAAACGCACCAGGGAGTGAAAAGCTGCGAGGTCGAAGTCCACATCCGCATTCCACATACCACTTTTCAGCTTCATAGGGACCTTGTTTCACAAAGAGCCCATGACATCTTTCATTGCACGCAGGTTTTTCGGATTTCACAGATCTTGCTGCCCAGAGGCCAAAGACATTGCCCGGGCCAGGAGCAGGATGGACTTTGTGGTGCCATCCACACTTTGCTTTGGATAGCCCACCTGCACTTAAACGAGGACGACCAAGGGGCTACTGTCAATGCGACAACCACAACACGAGAGTCGCAACCACCACGATAATTGCAGAGAAGCGTGAACTAGCAACGGCAAGAGCCGCCCCCAGAATCGTAAAAGGCCCAGGAGGGACCCGAAGGAGCCCTGAGCCCCGAGCCCGCCTGCTCTGGGAAGGGGCGCTCGGCCGCCTCGAACCTCTCCGAGTCAGGATGCGAATGTCGGCGCAGCAGCAGCAGCAGCACTAGGAGCACTATAGGATCCAATCTTATTGAAGAGGCACGGATCTCCACTGAGAAGACCGAACTTCATCAGCTCCAATGCCACGAGACAGGGCTCCTGGTGCACAACATGTCTTTCACTGCAGGAAGCTGGTCCTTGGTTTGGGACACTCGCAAATCGCTGCGAGTGCGATGTACATGCCTTCTGCTAGCTCTGTGTAGACACAATGATGCAGTAGCAGTAGCAGCGGGCTCGATGAAAGCCCTTGGCTTGAAGCCGTCCTGCAGGTAGGTT